ATATAAGTGTTCGTAATACCCACAGCATACCAACTTTTTTCTAACACCTACCTTCAATTCATACTAACAGAAAGACTCAGTAAATCTTGTCAAGATATAGAAAATAAGATGCAATGAGCTGAAACTTGCACATAACTACTTTGAAACACAAAGCTGACATGTTCCTGCTCCAATCAGCTCAGCTTTGGTTTCCTGTATGCAATATACGGGATTTAACGCAACTTTGGTTATTCAGAGTAAATTGGGGCCAAACCTATTTTATTAACAATACAAAAAAAAAGTACTTCTTCATTCCATTACACAGTGCAGATGTTCACTTATTTAAGTTAGTAGTTTCCCTCAAACTCACTGTGTAGGACTACTTTCTTCTCTCACCGTACTAAAATAAAATGCACATATGACCGCTTTCAGATCAGAATAAAGTAAATCCTCCACTGGGCTAAAAGCCTGGGAAAGTAGAAGTAATAGTAGAATAGTGTTCCTTCCACTTACAAAGCTATGACTAATTCACTTATTTACTTCCATCACTACTGTACACATCCATACATCAGGACATTCACCAGTTATTAAATACAGCTGGACTCAGTGATAACTTCAGAACAGCTTTCCTATCTTGAAAAGAATTTCAATAGTCAAAAACATAAACATTCTCCTTATCCTCCAGATGTTTTCATATATGCATAGCTCCACTAACCGCAGCTCCACTGAAATCAAAGGAATTACTAATTGTAGCAAAACTAAGCACAATGACAAGAGTATGCAGGATTAGTATCTTTGGACAAGTGAACAGGAAAGAAAAGAGAGCACAAAAATATGAAATTATGATATATGTCTTGAGAAGCAGCACAGAACAACAGCCTACTGGCCTTGACCGTGTATTTAAATCTGATATTACTACACTTTCAAGTATGATCAAATATAAGAAAAAACAGTGTACTAACCCAAGATGCATGCTTTTAGCATCCTTTTACACAATAGCATCGCGTTATTAGTGATCTACAGATATTTCTGTATTAATTTAAAGAAGGAAAAACAAGTAGGAACTACAAATACACTTGAATGCCACAAATTTTTGTGGTGTGGAGCTAGCATTTCCTAAAAGGTACTTTAAAATGTTTTCTGTATTTTACTTTAACTATCTATTATTACAAATAACAATAATGCAGTAACAAACGTATCTTTACATCACAAGTTGTTAACTTTACACAGAACATCAAGGAAGCTCTTATTTAAAGCTCCATCTTTAAATTCTCTACTTGACCCCATACAAAGACAAAATACAGTACTTAGAAAATTTAAAACAGGTTTCAAAATTCAGTCAGTATTTAGGATTTTTTTAAACAGGAACCGTTACCATTTTTAATTAAAAAGAAAACCCTACCCTTTCCTGTTCTAACATCAGTTAAGAAATCACTGGGCATATTAATACTATCTATAATATCCTGTAAAAATACAACAAGCTAGCTGACTTAACTGTGAACATTTCCCTTCCAAGCTCCTGCCAAGAAAGACTCCAGTAAGCGCTAACTTGGATTGTTATTTTCTGATTGTTAAGTTCTACACAGCAGCTAGAAAAAGCAGCAGCTTGTTTCCATTTTTGTGGAGTTTAGTCTATAAAGTGCTCAACTACACAGTATATCATTACAATACACAGAATTATTAAAAATAATAGCACTAGAATATAGTTTTTAAAATAGCAAACATTTGTCAGTGGTAAACCTAGAATACTATTTTATATTACTGAATATTGCAGCAGCATATCTAAATTAAACCTAACTCAGACATACCAGTTAAAAAAAAAAAAAAAAAAGATAAGTTTTTTTAATCTTTGTGGCCTTAACAAAAACTACCACACCTGTAAAAATAAGAAAATTAAATGATTATTTCCAAAGGAACTGCCATTTTGGTTTCAGTGTAGTCTTCCAAGCATCAGGCACACCACTGAGTATACAGCTCTCCTCATGTCAGTGATAACTGCTAATTTGTAATATTTCTGAGAAATTAGCAATCGCTTAAATAAAGGTTAATTAAAGATAACTCACCACCATCCCTCTCTCTAACTCTGTGAGTATGCACACTTTTTGCTTTAGCGTGCCCTGTGTTGTCACCGTATTTGTTTTCAGGGCTATCAGATCGCCGCAACATTTTATTTGGTGGTGAAGGATCTGTGGTGTCTCGCATCTTGTCATGACGGTGATCACCACCACTGGGGTGACCCTTGGATGAGTATTTAAGAGCCTGTAACACACAACAAGAGAATAGGCATTTATATTCGACTTAAAGTTACAGAAGAGATCTTAAAGTGATATTTTTAAATTTTAAATTCTCTTTCCAGAATACATTTTAAAGTTAATTAATTTTCATTTCCCATTTCAATAATCATCATTAGCCTTTCTGGTTTTAATTACCTACATGAAAGCAACAAGTTCTGTCATTAGAATTCAAACCATTTTCTCCCACTATGATATCCAGTATCACATTTGCTGTTAAGATAAATCTAACTTATTTATCTTTTCACTGGCAGACTACATACTTTCAGCAGCAAATGGGCCACAGCATTTCTGACATTTGTGGAAGAAGCAGAAATCTCTAGTTAGCATTAAAACGATGAGCAAAAAGTTATATTGAATCAGTGTAAACTTTGAATATACGTCCTCCATCTTGCAACTGAGGCAACTTAACTTCACCTCTACCTGGAACTTCTGCAAGCTTTACTTCAGTACAAGCATCTCCGTAACAGAAGTAACAACAAACCTAGAATTCTGGGGACCCACAACATGGAATATGAAAGTTAATTTGGAAATAATTACCAAAAATGACACATTCTGCACGTCTTTGACCTGCGTGATTTTGCAGCGTGAACTTCTGAGTGGCAACTGTTTACATTTACGTGAACTGTCACTGACAGCTGCCTTCGACTGTCAGGTTACATTTCAGTGATACAAATACACAGAAGTGTAATAAAACAACAGCTCAGTTATTTGCCCTAAGGAGAGCAATACCACAATATGCAAGCATTCCCCAGATTCACACCCTCAGAACTAAATTTCTCAGTAGGCAAAGCAGAGGAACGTAGCATCCCTTACAGAAATTAAGGCTCGTCTCAGCAGTTCAAGGATTTGATAGTGGTTTCTGACCATAGCTAGCAGCTGGCAACTGCAGAAATTAGGCCTTACTGGCAACCCCCGTTATTCAGCGTCTAAAATCATGCCCTGCTCAGGTTACAATCCACAGCAGCAGTTTTGGGGAGAAGAGAGGACTTGGGGAGGGGGGCGGGGGAAGAAAAAGATGACCATAGCTAGCAGCTGGCAACTGCAGAAATTAGGCCTTACTGGCAACCCCCGTTATTCAGCGTCTAAAATCATGCCCTGCTCAGGTTACAATCCACAGCAGCAGTTTTGGGGAGAAGAGAGGACTTGGGGAGGGGGG